GGAGGATTGTGAGGTGCGCATATGCCTTTCCTCACTCCTAACTAAACCCACGAACTCCGATTTTTGCGCAGACCTATTTTAGGTGATTTGTCCACCTTATAATTTGAATAAGTGGTGACTCCCTCCTTTTTATATTTTTCACTTAATTTTTCATTGTTTTGAAATCTTAAGTAGTCCTCAACACTTGGTTGGAACAACCAGGGTGCAAAGAGGTGATTAGAAATGTGTGGAACCACAATGAGGTGAAAGGGTGGACTGGCTTTAAGCTAAAGGAAAAACTGAAAAACACAAAGAAAGCACTGAAGGAGTGGAGCAATAATTCGATCAAGGAGGTGGATAGCAAAATTAAGGAAACTGAAAGTGTGATAGCTGAAATTGATGAAAAGGGGGAGAAGACTCAATTGTTAGCAGAAGATATTGAGAAGAGGAGAATTAGCTTTGTTGACTTATGGAAGAATCTAAGGCTTAAGAAGAGGTTATGGCAACAAAAGTCAAGAAAGATGTGGCTAAGAAAAGGAGATGCGAACACAAAATTCTTTCATAGATGTGTCAAGGGAAGATGGAGAAGAAACGAAATAAATTGTATTCGAATCAATGGGGACCAGCACATAGGGGTGGCGGAGATAAAAGAAAACGTAGCTGAGTACTTTCAAGATTTGTTCACAGAAGAGAAATGGCAGAGACCAAAGCTAGATGGGATTAGCTTCAAACAAATATCACAACCTGATAATGAAATCCTTACAACAAAATTTTCAAAAGAGGAGATTAAAGAAGCAATTTGGAATTGTGATTTTTCGAAAGCTCTAGGCCCAGATGGATTTAATTTTAGATTTGTTAAGACAATGTAGGAGAACATAAAATTTGATATTGTGGGCTTTGTGCAGGAATTCCACAAACAGGGCAGACTTGTTAAAGGCTCTAACGCTTCCTTCATTGTGTTAATCCCAAAGATAGAAATCCCCAAGGTATCGAAGAATACAGATCCATATCACTCATTGGTGTCATGTATAAGATCATTGCAAAACTATTAGCAAACCGATTATGAAAGGTGTTACCCAAGGTAATCGGGGACCAACAGGTGGTGTTTATTGGGGGGAGACAACTTGTGGATGGAGTTGTGATTGCAAATGAAGTCATAGATGAAGCCAAAAGAAAGAAGAAGAGATGCTTCCTTTTCAAAGTTGACTTCAAGAAAGCATACGACAAGGTGTGTTGGGAATTTGTTGATTATATGATGATGAGGATGGGGTTTAATGGAATTTGGA